GTGAGCAGTGCAGGCTCAGAGGAGGTAAGGACGCCGCGGTGCACATTAATAATGAAAGGCCTGAGCTGAAACCCCCCCAGACACACACACACACACACACACACACACATCGCCATGACGATGGCACTAGCCCAGCACTGTCACTGAGCGGGGGGGCGACGGGGGGGCCGGGTTACAGAGCTACACACTTCAGCCTTTTTCCTTGGCCAAGCTGATCACCCCCCGCCGGGCCGGCTCAACATCTCCAATAATTAGAAGCAGGCAGGGGGTGCGGCGGCGGCGGCGGAGGAGGAGGAGGTGGAGGTGGAGGAAGTCTGCGTCCGCACCTCCTTCCTCACCTGGATTTATAAGGGAGTCAACGTGCAGCTGTGATGGAGGAAAAAGAAATCAGGGAAAATCATTACTTTGCAGGAAAATGGAAATGAGCCGTGGTGTCACAGGCCCGCGGCGTCAGAATCAGTAATTACAGCCAGACCCGGGAGACGCTGACCGCGTTTTTGGAAAGGTTTTTCAATCAACCTTCATTTATCTGTGTCTTTATCCAAACTTTTTTTCCCGTGCAGAAAACAACGTGGAACACACAGGAACGGTTGAGAAGGAAAACGAACGTCTGCTTTTCACACAAAGACGTTTTGTTGGAGGTAACGATGGAGAAAGAAAATGCAAAAAATAAATAAATAAAAATTAGGTGGTTTGAAAAAAAAAAAATTAAAAAATTAGGTGTTGGTTTTAACAGCTAAGCTTTTTTCTTTTCAATCTCAACCTGCTCAAAATATTATTGCGTAATAATATTAAGTGTTAGTCAACATGAGGAAGTTCTGGTTCTGGTTACCGAGTGGGAAACTTTAGATTGTGAAAAAAAAAAAATCTAATTTTTTCACATACGGATGTAACGATGCATCGTGATGGTAAAAAAAAAAGTCACTGGTCATACCATGTCACTATGCAGTCTAGTCCAGTAGGTGGCAGTTTGAGAAAAAAGAAACAAATAAAGGATCATTGAATTTGGTCAGAATTGGTCTTTCGGTAAAAACAAAAATTGTGATAAAATCGTACCCTGAACAAAAACAATCGTGAATCAGATCGTATCGTGAGTCGATCCCTGACTAGAGTTTAAACGTGACCACTTTTTGTTTCTTCGACTTCACGGTCCTGTAATGATACATTTGTTCTGACAAAAAATAAAAAATAAAAAAACCAAGAAAAATCTTTATGCAACAGTTCTTTTTAGTCTGTTTGAAAAGAAACATGCAGATAGAAGAGGGACAGACGGACATCGCAGCTCGGAAGTGTTGACACGAATACATGCATTCCTTTTTATTCACAAAACCAGTCCAATTTCTCTAAACGAATACAAAGATTGGTTATTTTTAAAACTCCGCAGCTACCCAGCAACATAACAAAACCATGAAAATAAGAACAACAAATTAAAAAAAACCAAAGTTATCTCGGCGCCGCGCGTTCCGAATTCGACTCAGAGCAAGTCTCTAGTGCTTTTGCCCCGAGCAGCGTTGGCACATGCTCAGTGGGGCCACAGGAAACATAAGGCTGCCAGTTTGAAGAAGAAGTTTGGAGATGCAGAGAAGAGAGCGGGAAGATGTGGCGACGGCTGCGGCGGACGACGGCGAACCACGTCGTCTTCGACCACGTCAGGGGTTTCCGCTTCGTCCAATCACACGACAGAGGCTACGTTCACACTGCAGCTCCAAATGGTCAATTTGGTTTAGATCAGATTCTTGTTTACATTATGGATTAATGACAGAGCGATGTTTACGTCAACGAGTATCAGGTACAGGTGTAAGAAAATATCAACACATTGAAATATCGCGATATACGATACCGTATCGATATTCATTTTCTTCAGTTACATTGGGGGAAAAAAACTCAATATATGCCTATAATATCGCAAGTATATTATAGCAATATATCGTATCGTTGCTACCTGTATCGCGATAAGTATCGGATCCCCCCATTCTTTCCCCCTTTCA